AGACGGTGTCTTCATTGAAAGAGTTGGCCAGAATGCCAGAGGCACCATCTTTTGTGTTTCTGCTGACAATTTGGCTGCTCATGGATTAGGTGGCTTTGTAGAGTCATTTAGAGCAGGACATGTTTGCAGATTCTGTATGGGCTCAATTGAACAGTTTCAAGTAATTGAAGTCAGAGAGAGAAGGTTTCCTCAGAGAACCGAAGCCAGCTATGACCTACATGTACAAACCGTTCAAGAAAGTGACACTTTGAGCAGCCACTTTGGTGTTAAAGGTGGCTGTGTTTTACGTGAGTCCCTGAATTACTTCCACACAATCACGGGGTTTCCTCCAGATATACTCCATGATCTTCTGGAAGGTATTGTTCCCATGGAGCTTTCTCTTTGTGTTAAAGAGATGATCCGGCTGAAGTACTTCACTTTGGAGTATTTGAATCACAAGATTACATCATTGCCATATCAGCACACCGATAAAGTGGATAGACCTCAGCCCCTTCACAAAATGTTTCTCTCTCAAGGAACGATTGGAGGTAATGGACATGAAAATGCCACTCTGCTCCAACTTCTTCCATTGCTTGTTGGTAGTGTAGTACCAGAGGGTGATAAGGTATGGGCAGTTTTGATGGAGCTGAAAGAGGTGGTAGAGTTAGCATTGTGCCCATCATTTACTAATGAAACCTTAGACTATTTTGTGTGCAAAATCGATGATCATAGACAGGCACTGCTAGAGGTTTTCCCTGAGGTTAGGCTCCATCCTAAACATCACTACGTGGAGCATTATACTGCTCTAGTTAAGTGCTTTGGGCCCCTGCTGCACGTTTGGACCATGCGGTTTGAGGCCAAGCAAACCTTTTTTACAAAAGAGTGGTGCGTGACACTCAAAACTTCAAAAATATTTTGAAGACAATGGCAGTCAGACACCAACACATGATGGCATATCATCTTGCTGCGCCATCATTTTTCAAGCCAAAAACTCAGGCATCCGGGGTTGACTCTGTTCTGGTTTCAGCTCTACCAGAGGTTGCTCAAGCACACATTAGAGAACAAACAACTAGTGACACAATCTACAAGACATCAAAGGTGACCATTGATGGCACAGACTATGTCTGTGGAATGTTTCTGTCTGTAGGAGTCAGTAGTGGACTGTCTAAATTTAGCAAAATAAAACAGATCTACCTTGTGAAATCACAATGTATCTTTTCTGTGTTGTGACTATGAGTCCTAGTATGTTGAACATCTGTGGTCCTATGAGCTGTCAACTGCTGACACAAGCCTGTCAATCCACCTGCAGTCTGATCTCAACGATACAGTCCCTCTCTCGGCATACAAGATAGACGACTCGCTGCTGCTGACCCCCAAGCGGTTCATTCAAGTGAGACAGAACTGAGTTCAGGTAATAATGAATGGTTCTTTTATTTATCAGTTATTGTGTTTGTATTCACTCTCTGTATAATTGAGCAATTAATATATTCTATATCGTACCTTTTAACATCCTGATTTTGTCTTTTCATTAGTACAATGGCAGCTGCACCTCCCCAACAACCAATGCTTATTCGTGTTGTTGAGACAGACCGGGCTAGAAAATTAAAACTCAGCTCACG